CTAAACTCCGGATAATTTGGTTGTCAGCCTGTAATGATCCACTTTGTTAAAAGAACCACCTGATGTCCAGAAAGTTTTCAGTCTCAAGGTCAGGGTCATTGGAATTCGAAGGATTGTTTTATGTTGTCTCACAGTTCACCCAACTGACGGGAACCCTGCCATCAGCGCTCAGGTGTGTGTGTGCTCATGGGTAAGAGTCCTCCCTTTGTCTCAGGTGAGGCCATGGAGTACTGGACCATCTAAGTCCCCATGACTGAGCTTTCTGTGCAACAGAAATGAGGCTCATTAGAAATGTGGCTGAGATCTCTGCCCCGAGGTGCCCAATCTGATGCCTTTAGGCTCATAGGGAAAGGTTCTGTCTGCGTTCAGAAGGTCTTGCACCCGCTGAATGGAAAAATATTGAGTCATAAGTGTGTTATAGTTAGTGCGAAGCTTACAGCTAGTCAATATCAGTACGTGCTGCTACTTCTTATCCAGGTCATACATCAGTGTGAGGCTTCTCTCCTCATGTGACTCATGTCTGGGTTGCAACTATGATCACACGACAGGGAGGAAGGTCATGGAGTCAGATCAGTGGTGTGGAGGAGGCTGATTTAGCATCACGTGGAAAGGCTCGCAGCTGGGGCCTGGCAAACCCAGGAAGGGCCTTCGCTTCTACGGAGGGTGCCAAACACTATACACATTTTAAGAAAAATAAAAACTGTATGAAAATTATAATAATATATACCAATAAGAAAAGATGAATACATGTCATATGTATACATTTTTTTGTCACCCCTGGTATATCCAGGACTTGGGTCCCAGGAGACCAAAAGCTACACACCAAAGTTGCCCAAGACTGGGTTAGAGCAAAAAGAAAGGGGAGGAGAGTTTTTCTGCTAGGACTCCCATTCTTTGGGGTAGCGTATGTGGAATCCCAGAGATCTGAGACTTGATCTCATAAAAAAGTGTGATCTACCCAGAATATTTGTATTCTCAATTCCTCTCTCAATTCTTTAGGGAGATAAGGATTTACCAGGAATATTTCCCTTTTCATTTATTTTTAAATTAATTATTGAGTCACACATTTTGTTGTGGCTGAAAACATGCACTGCATCTCAAAGGTTTTTCTTTTTCTTTTTTTCTTTT